GTGATGAAATTAATAGCAAGTGTTGAAGGGATAACCTCCATTGTTCTAGACCCAGCTAAAAACACAGTGACAGTGGTTGGTGAAGCTGATCCAGTAAGGATAATAAAGAAGGTTAGAAAATTCAGAAAATCAGCAACCATTGAGAGCGTCGGTGCCCCTAAAGAAGAGAAAAAAAAAGAGAAAAAAGATGAGAAAAAGGGTGATGTTTCTCAACCTCAGAAAGATGAGAAAAAGAATGAGAAGAAGGTTGATGTTTCTCATACTCCGAATCTGTGTCACAGATGTGGTGTGTGGCATCACTGGTATGTGATAGTCGAAGATGAATATCGTTACTGTTCCATATTGTAATTTACTCACTCTTCTTGTTGTGCCTTTCCTAGTATTGTTAATTTCTTTATAACTAATAAAATAATGCATCTATTCCCTGATAGTAGTAAAAGTTCTTTTGTGAATAACTCAATAGTTTACGGAGTAGATTATATTTACAAATTTTTTATTTACGAATTCTTACAAATTACATTATGTCTAACAAGTAATACATTCTTAAATAGAGTATTACCGATCAGACACAGTATAATTTATAAATTTATAAAAAAAAAATTATCAATATAACCCTACTCGTAGTTTCTTCTGTTTTTAAATATGATTTTTGTTTTGGTGTTCACTAGTTTGGTCTAACATGGGGAGACGCAGGTTGCCTTAGTACTAATTTCTGTTCGCGTCCAACCTTGTCTCAGTGCAAAACTCTGCAAGAGCTTATATTCTTAATGTTTTTTTTATCATCAAAATTAGGTATCTTATTTATTTCTTCAGTAACTTTGTGGATATGGTCGCACTTTACGTAGAAACTAGATAATATCCCATTGATTTTTATTTTTTTTATTGTTGAATATGACGTATAATGTTAACTCTTGGGTTTGATGTTATTGTTTGATTCGTAATTTTCTTTTTTTATAAGAGGGCAAGTCAAAAATAGTGATAAAACTCATATAGATAGAAGTTTAATCCCGAATTGAGTGACGTGAAAATTATTCAATTTTAACTCTAAAAAATTCGAACCTGTACACTTTTCACAGTTCGTTTATGCCCAGGTATTGCACTTGAGTCAACCTACAGGCCATTGTCCATTTTATATGGTGTTTTTACGGAGGCAATGCTTTCTTCTATTTCAATATCTGTAATAGCAGTAGGGTGATATTTAAAAATATAAAAGAGGTAGGATCCTTAATAAAAAAAATACTTACAAATCAGAGCTGTTGATTTTTTTTTATCTAACGGTTCTTAGATGAGGTGTCAAATTTCAAATGACACTGGTGTCAAAGGGTCCTACCTCAATATAAAAATATGAATCCAAAAAAAAAAAAATTAAAAAAAAAATTATATGGTCACCGGTCTGGACTAAGGAAATTTATAGTATAAAAATAAAATTAATTATTTTAGGAATGTTATATTTACAAATTTTTTGTTTACAAACTACACTAAGTATGACCGGTCATACTTAGTGTAATTTGTAAATAAAATTTGTAAACGAATTTTTTCCCATTTTATTATAATATTTAATTAATTAAAAAATAATTTTGATAAATAAATAAAAATTATTAAATATTATAATAAAATATTATAATTATTTAAAAAGATATAAAATTATATTCTTTAAGACAACAAACATTTTCCCATGAAGAAAACCGGTTACCGAAATTATATTTTGGTTAAAACAAGTAGGTATATTATGTTTTTTTATGTTTTTTTTTTGGTAAGCTGCATGTTATGATTTTCATCTAACAATCGTATAAAATTTAACTTTTCCAAGTGGGTTTCAAACATTCAATTGATTTGGATCAGAACCCAAGAAACCCACATGGACTTTCGACCCAAAGACACTTGACTCAATGGCTTCATGGCTTGGGGCACCTTACTTTAATAGGTTAGCTCATACGACCCATTTAAGCCCCTTAAAGTCCTAACTTCATGAGTTCCACCTCATGTTAAGTTGTTAACTCTTTACATTGCAACATTTTCATAATAGCTCCTGAAATTTTATTTTTAATTTTTTTGGGTTACATACATTCCCTGAACTATATGTTGATCATATCTCCACATAGTGTGGCAGACCTAGAAAATTTTAGTAGAGTGTACGATGACTGAGGACAATATAGAGATTTAAGTAAAAACTTATTAAATATTTATACTCAAAATGTAAAAAAAGTAATTTTATGTTATCATTTATGGGGAGGGTTATATTTACAAACTTTTTGTTTACAAACACGTTATGTACTTCCAGAAGTATACTAGGTTACACAATATACTTCCGGGATTACATAGTGTAATTTGTAAAAATTTGTAAAAAAAAAAAATTGTAAACGAATCATTGCCATCATTTATTCATATATTATTGTAACTTAACCTCTAGGGGGTGTTTGGTAGGAGTTTTTCACAAGATAGCAGGCATTTCAGAATGGTATTCCAAATTGTCCATGTTTGGTACAAGTTTTTAAACAATTTACCCAGTAAACTAATTTGTCCATCATTTCTCGTTTCTTTGAAAATTGTGATGAAAAACATTATTTAAAAATACCACTTAGAAGGTGATATTTTCAGATTACCGATAAAATGGAAAAAGGAATGTGAAGTAGATGACGAAAATGACCTTCTTCTAATCCTATATTATGTACTGTGTAATATTATTTAGTTTATGGTTGCTTTTGTAATTTCACCTAATTTTCAAAAAGTTTTGTGCTCTATCAAACACCTCCTAACCAAACTCGATGGCTTGTTCTATGCGCAACAAGAACCACCAGGTGTGGGGCCTACATTATTTGACAATTGACATATATAACACGGATTTGAGGAGGGAGGTGCAGTGCAATTCTGATCTTAGAAGGTTGTTGATCGGCACCGGAAGCTGGTCAATAGTGATCAAGGACATTGGTTGCTCAATGCAATTTCGGAATCGGGAAACAGAAATGATGGTGATGATGAAGCCATATGCACACAAGATGAGAAGGTTTTCAGTTTTCACCCTCCCATTTGTGTTTCTGATTCATGAATCAGTGTCTTGTCAAGAGATGTCTATGCAAACCTTTTGCACCTAACTTAGTATATCAATAAGAATTGGCGTATTATTAATTTGGGGTTTGCATTTCTCATTTAACATGACACAACAAACTTTCCTACACACATAATATTTTGTGTGGTCCACACTTTTTGAAGAAAAAAAAAAACTATAGCACGCAAAACGAATCTCTATAACATTACACAATCACTTTTCTTACAACATAACTCTTATAAAACCCTATTAATTTTTATCAAATAAATGTTACATTCTTTTAAGTTAGGGGTTTACTTTTATGTTGCTAGAAAAAAGTAATATTTCCTGCAGACTCGTGTGTTTAGTGGAGTACACAATTTAAAAAAAAAAAAAATGCTCAAAAATTGAAATGTCAGTAGGAAAATGGTTTTCATTTTCTGAAACATAACATATACATTTTCCTTTTAAATTTAAATTATGGGTTATATTTATTTCATTCAACATGAGATAACTTATTTTTCTACACACAACAAAAGTGTATCCCATTTTTATTTTTTCTCTCTAATCATTTGTGAGTCTCTCTTATTATTTTGTTTCACAAACATAAAATAATTTATCTACATCAATATAAGAAAAAAATTTCCCTTAAATTATTAATGATGTGTTTATATTTTATTAGTTTAATGCGATCAACTTGAATCTATTATTTAAGCCCAATTGCATTATTTTATAAATTAAATCAGATTGGGCTTTGCCCTTCATATCTACCAAAAAAAAGAAATTCGGATTGGTCGGTTGAATTAAAAAATTGATGAACTGATCAGGTCATCGATCTAGATAATCCAAAAAACCAAATGATTAAAGAACTAATTAAATCAGTAAAAACTGAAGAAAACTGGTGGTGAAAAATGGGTTTGAACAAATTTTTTATTTTTGTCATTTTTTTATCCAACTAAATGTATTAGTTTAGACAAATAAAGGCTTGCATTTAGATTGTTACTATTAAACTTTTTACTATTGATTTTTTTATCTTGCAGAACATATAATATAGTTCTTTTATATTAATTTTAAATTTCCCTAATTTTATTTTTATAAATTTCTATTAATATATAATATTAAAAATATATGTATCATTTAATTATCAACGATTTAACCGTTGTTTAAACTCGGTTGAACTAGTAAACCGTGAATCAGCCAGTGTTTTCACCAATTCAATAATCCGGTTCTCAAAGCAGTACTCTCAATAAACCCAATTGGTCATGATATACTTTTTATCTTCTTGAATCTATTTCTTAATTCAGCATTGCTCTTATCATAATAACTAGAATCGAAGAATTAGTAGATTTTTTTACCCAAAATAAGAATGCGCTAGTGTTATGATTGATGTAGTTGATTTCATTATTGTAAGTTCGCCCAATATCAAGACCAAACCGGGAAAATGTTATAATAATTGTAAACATTCTGAATTTCGGATGTTATGTGCCCTAGCAGTGTTTGTTCAAATTAAGGTTTCTCTGTCGGGGCTGTTCAACCTACATGACGGATTGTAGTCGAACTGTGAAGATGAACAAATAATTCTATGTCCAACAACGAACGTCTTAATCCGGCATTTTTTAGAACTATGTCCTATTACTATTTCATTGGTTTCAGTATCTGGGTGACTTGGTTTTTCCACCGCTCTTGTTGTCCATTGCCTTAACTAGTTAACCACCCGGATTACCTGATTCTCCATGAGCCTATACTGCGTAGAAATATGCAGAACTGCGTATTCTTTCAATTTGAGAGAAAGAAAGATTTTTCCCAAGAAAATTGAGATCAAGAGACACGTATCAAATAATACGCCTTCACAAACTAAGGAAAAATTAAAAAGAACAAAAAATTTATGCTTCTTCACTACCACATGTTTTTACTATGGTAATAATTAAAACTTGGATAGAAGTGTAAAGAAGTTCTACATTCACAGTGGAACAAACTTAGACTTTGTTTGAACTTTTATAAATGTCATAAAATTACTTAAAATTCAACACTCAAATTCATCTGTATTAAAGTTTTGAGAGAAAGAGAGAGGGAGGGAGATAAGTAGACGTTTATACAGAATTCCATCGTACAAGAGTTTCATGCCGATAATGGACAAGCCAACCTGAAGAAAAACTCCAGGGCAGTTTATTATATATATACAAGCAGAAATGAAGTAATATCCATCAATGCGCCGAACAGCTCCGTTCTGTACAGTTATCTCTTCAGCAATCACCAGCAAAACTTCTTTTTCTGCTTTACAAACAGATTGAAGATACTTTTAAGAGTTCCCATGCAAGATGGGTAACAAGCATTTGGATTTTACCTTCAAAATTTACACAAGATGAAGATATCGTTGCCTTACCTCAAATTTGGCTTTTTCCTGACGGTCTATGTATGCCAGAAGTTCTTCTTGTCTAATCAAAGCTTCGTATAAAGCCTGTTTAGGAAGTGGAATACACTAGCTTTTATATATAAATACCAAAATTTATTGAAATGTTTAGCAGACAACCAATCTTAGTTCAAACGGAAAGGGGTCAGTTGCCCATGACGGTTTAAAAGGCGAATTGCAATGTCATAGAATGTATATAATCGACAGCAAAAGCAGCAGCTCTAAAGTTTCTCTATGGACATCTAACATAGTTCAGTTTGTCCCCTGACCTATGAGATAAAACGAAGAGCACACAGATACAATTTGGTAGACAATGATCCTAACTCTAGACAGTAATCTACCTACAACAGGTGGGGCATTGAATTGAAAATGTCTATAGCTATAATGGTTGCAAGTCAAGTGCATAAACAAAGGAGATAATGATATGAAGACTCACTACTTACATGTGTTCATCCACAATCAGAAAACTGACACGTGAACGGGTAATTGGTGGACAAGCCAATTCTATGGCAAATAATAGCAAAGAATACAAATCTTTTCCTTAATATCTGTCTAGCCTGAAGCAAATAATATGATTTTAAATGAAATACAGTTACCTTCTTTGTAGCGATCAGTTCTGCTTCCAATGCATCCACACGATAAACAGCAGCATTCAACAGCTCCTCTTTCTCACATGGCATCACATTAGGTCTTGACTGTAGCACATCAACCTTCTCTTCAAGCTCACTAAGGCGTTTCAAAGCAGATGAGATGAGCTCTGCCTTTGTGACTCTGGGAGCAGGTGAAGGGGGACGAGATTCTTCCTTGGTAATTGAATCAACAGTCATGTTAGGCATATTTTGGGCAGAAACAGATTCAGAGTCCTGTATTCCCTTAGTCATACGAAATGCTATTGAACGAGCAAAAGTAAAGATGGCAATAAAGAAGCCCACTATAATAGCCCAGATATGCGCACAGTTTCCATCAGTAGATCTTCCCGTCCTCGATAGAAATTTTTCTGCAATGAATGACAAATACATTACAAATATACTTTTCTTCGATGCCAATAACTCTTAATAATAAAATTCCATTCTGAACTGCAGCAGGTTGCTGCAAAGGTAAAACTTGAGGCAGATGTTTGCGCAGGCCAACACTCTAGTCTTGAGCCTTCAGGTGAGGCGCTAGCGGCTGGTTCTGCGGGGTCAGTTGGCAGAGGTAATAGACTTCCCTTCTCAAAGCTTCAATCATCTACCTCATGGGCTCGTCCAAAACAGCCGGAGCAGTAGCATTGGGCAGTAATGATGCCTGAACCGAAGGAACAGGGTTCTCATGGAGCTTCTCCTTATGACCTTCAAGAGTTTGGCCAATCTGACGCGGTGGGTTCGACTAGTCTGAACCGTTTTTGCAGCAAATCGTGTTTCCAAGGGTGTAGCTTAACTCTTAGGTAGAAAGAAATGGGAATCGAAATTTACTGTTTTCCACAGACGGCGCCAATGAACTGTTTATGTGTTTGGGCTAGATATGTTTCCCTCAAGGGGTAGACTATGTCAATGAATAGGTGATCTAGAGAGTTAGTGGTATAGACCAAAACTCTAAAATGGAGTCATTGTGAGTGCATCTCAGGCAAAGGCCGAGAATCAAGGGGAAGTGTGAGGACACAGTGGCTTTGAGTGACTGAAATCTAACAGAGAATCAAGAAGGTGAGTATGTATGCAAAAGATTCCTCTTCCATGGTGAAGAAAGATGTTTATAGTGGGAAGAATATTCCCAAGTGTAGGGGAGAGAGAGCCTAACCATCCATGCCCTTGTAAGCCCCATTAGGTGTGAGCCAAACATCCTCACCTATGTGTATGAGGTGCATGTGCATGGGGAGTGAGATAGGTAAGGTGAGGAAACATTTGTCTCAGTTTAGGGGTATAACCCCCTCTAATGGGCCTTAGTGGTCGGCACAATGGACTAGGCCTCGGTGGCGGGTCCATAACATAATCTAAAACCTAGTACATTGCCAAATTCTTTCAAATCTATATGAAAATGTGTTTATTACTTATCTTTTTACTATAATAAATATTTACTTTCTTATAAAAGTGTTGAATATTCTCATGTTTCTTTTCTTAGGCGTGAGTGCATGACGAATTCAAATATGTGAAAAAAATATAAAGCACCGTTCTTTTAAAGCATAATTGTAAACTGTGTAAATCTTTCACACATGTATGTTCTGAAGAACATAATATTTTGAATATTTCATAGTCGATCGGTTAGGTTCAATGTGCCCGCCAAGAATAGTCCCCCCCAACCAAAAAAAAAAAAAATGTGTCTAGTCCCACCAAGGTAGGCTTAAATAATATAAGTTAGTAACGGTGGCATATCAAAATCCAATGAAGTTAATAACGGTGGAATATCAAAATCAATCATTTCGGGGATGAAGATGCATGAAGTATCTAACCTGTTGAGCCAAATGAGTTTTGAGTAGTCAATTGTTTCTCCTTCCATGTAACGTCGACAGTCTTGTCAACCATGGGAACATACTCATCATACTCAGAGATACCACCAGCATGACTAGCCTTACCAACCAATCTTGCCTGGACAAACATCAAAGCAGTTATATTTTATTCATTGCAACATTTTTTTATATATCTATCTTGTTTTTCTTTCTTTTTGCAACATGAATATCAATTTCATGACCACTTACTTCTTCATGGACGGGGGTCAACCTTGGGTTTGTATAATTCCCACTTGCTTTGGGAGAAGTGATATCTTCAACTTCAGATCCTGATTCTGCTGTTGATGTATCACTACTTCTTATCTGCTCCCAATGTCCAAATGAAGAAGAATTATAAAATATAAAGTTCTCATTCATGAAGTGTGTAAGATGGTATTAAAACTATACCATAGGATAACATGTCTTATCACATTCAATTACTGTCCCCTCGTCGTTAGAAATTGTTACTATTTGTCTAGAACATTGTACTTCACCACTAAGAACCATCTGCAACACAAAACTGTTCTATCTGAGTCACAAATGATAGCAGAAGCAATGACAAGATAACTAGTAAATATTTAGTGAAAAACAAAGTCTAACAATTACATGATAATTGATAGGAACGGGACTCAATCTGATGAGTCCAAAGAGAAGTCCAAGCCCAAGCTAAGAAGTGGTCTGGCCCAATTCTGGTTTATCAAAGGAAAAGCAAAAAGAGAGAGTGAATGACGTGGCAAGTCTGTTTTGGGAGTCTGTTTTTGGGTGGTGCGTTACTGAGAGGGAGAGAGGAATCTGTTTTGTTAGTGGTTGCTTTATAGCATGGGGTTTTGGCTTTTGGGATGTTATGTTGAATATTCACATTTCTGGTTTCTACATTGTAGAAAGGGCTAGGAGAAATTCTCTGTAGCAAGGGGCTTTAATCTCATTTTCTTCACTGTAATTGTTTCTTTAATTCAAACATATATACAAATTACTCCCTCTTGATCGATAGGAGGAGTTTCTTTCTTATCAATAAGCAACAAACCTTTAAAATGTTTGGATCTTGCCATGGCCCTTTATCAGACCTCATACAACCACCTTGATCTTTACAAGTGCAACTACCACCTAGAAATTCTGGCAGCTCACTGAAAAACCACGTAGATAGTCAGAATTTCCGGGTAACAAAATGTTGATTGAGAAATAACACTATTAACAAAATAAACGCTGAGTTACCTTGCATCACTAATTTCAAGCAATTTACTCTGGAACTTGTTTCCAAGAACCTAACAGAACATTGAAGTATCAATTAATCCTACAGCTATAGATTATCTCTGTCAACTGTAAAAGATGATTATTTCATTGAAATCCTATAAAAATCTAAAAAAGAATAACTCAAACACATACATGTATCTTTGAAGTAGTTTTGGGATCAAGAAATGTTTTCACTGTGTTCCAAAGCAGCTTGAAACCAGGACCGGCATTGATTATAAACATTACATATAATGTCTGCACAATCACTTACAAGTTAGAAGACATACAAAAACAAAAAGTGAGTTTAGAAGCCATGAAGTATTGGAAACTACCAAAAATATTATGAATAAAGCCTACATACTTCAGGATAGTAGTCACCATCAATTTTTTGCAGCCGTGTGATGAGTTCCCTTGCAGACTTGGTTAGGTTTTTGAAACCCTACAAAGCAAAAGGCAGCAAAGTAATCCAAACCCAGAATTCCCTACATTTAAATTAAAATGATTACAAGCAACTTTCAACATACCACGCCTTGAACATCCAAAATGGTTGTACTAGAATCTATATGCCTCTTTGCAGCAATAGAACATGCAGGAAACTTAACAGCAAACGTTTTCTCAAAACCCTGCACATGGTATCTCAAATACCTATCCATGGTAGTGACTTGCATAAGCTTATTGGGATCAACTTTGCCTAGCCTCTCAATATAAAGAGGTCTTCCTTCCTTATCCACACCATGATTACCATGTGGATAGTACTGCAGGACTTCATTCAACTCATTGAACTCAAAATCCTAGAGAGAAAGAGAGGAAACCAAAGTAGCATAGCATGAACAACGAATTCAGAAAACTAAAATGTACAGATGACCAACTCAAACATGATCAGCCAAAGAAGAAAACCAAATAAAAGGTTAGGTATATTTTTCAAATCAGATGACTCACCTCCATAATTGTATCAGTACCAAAGTCTCTCCTCCATTGGATCATGTTGGCCCACATGTACTTTGCTTTCTCAATATCAAATTTCCTTGCTTTTAAGAATCTGCAATAACATCAGTTAATTCAAGCTTTAAATTATACTTTAAGGTGAACAAGTCATCTGTAAATCTTCAGTGCAACAAGCATGTAAAATGTGAATATGCAAAGACACTTTCTATGCAAACCACGAATGCCTTGAGCAAAATGTTATGATTTTTATGTGTAGTTTGAAGTACTGAAGGCTGTATTTAAAACCAACGTATTATAGATAACTCATAATAAGTAGAGGTATAACAAGTTACAAATGATGCATCTGTTGTGATCATCACAATCTTTATTAGTAAAAAGATGCAATCAACAAACCGAACAATAAAGTTCAGAGAAAACGAACCGGTGCTACTGATGGCAACTGTAACGAACCTTGTGATTTCTGAAACCGCATGCACTGATGAATCTCCAACGAGGACGATGGAGGAGGATGATTTACTCTACCATAGTACTAAACGAAATAAGGGAGGGGATTCACCATTCACCAATACTGAAACCTTGACTCCTCGTGTGGAGGCCTGGATGGAAGATAATTCTTCTGTGCCTCAAAAGTCTAGGTGACAAATTCTTTTGGAGCACAATGGAGAAGAAGATTGTGATGCAGAATTTGGAATGGATAGAATGTTAATGTTTCTAATGATCCTAAGGCTGAAGAAGGAGCAAATAAGTGGGGAACTAAATGTATAATTGAGGAGGATGGTTTACTTCACTTCTCCTGTATCCCAAAAGCGAAGTAAAGGATGCGCAGAGCATGGACGTCTGCTTTGATTGTGAAACTTCTTGGTAAACACATTGGTGTGACCTTTATGAAGAGGAAGTTGGAATCCTTCTGGGCACAACGTGGTTCCGTTACAATTTCAGATATTGGCAATGATTATTTTACCGTCCAGTTCTCCGCCAAAGAGGATCTTGCAAATGCTTTGAATGGAGGCCCGTGGTTAATTCAAGGTCATTACCTTTCTCTGCGCCTTTGGGAGCCTGACTTCAATCCTCATGTTGATATCATTAAGAAAATAGCGGCATGGATACGGCTTCCTGGCATACCTATGGAATATTATGACGGACCATTTTTACGCTCTGTAGGAGATCAGCTAGGGAGAACTTTACGTATTGATCGTACCACTATGGCACAAACGAGGGGTAGATATACTTGTATTTGTGTTGAACTTGACTTGACCCAACCATTGCGACCAACTTACAAATTGAGGGGAATATCAAGCATATTGAAGATGGGGGTCTTTTTCTTATCTATTTCGCTTGTGGTAAATACGGTCACAACAAAGACCACTACCCAGAATGTCTTATCAAAGATGTTGTGGATGTTCATGGTGAATCAATGGAAGATAATACAAACACAACAAGAAAACCAGTGTCCCACCAATCCCTTGGGCCGTGGATGATGATTCGACGTCCCAGATGGCAACTCCCGACAATTAGTGGTGATTCCCCAGCGGTTACTACACATCACAAGTCAGTTAATGGTGGTTATTCACGTAGAAAGGAGAAAACTAATTCTCAAGCTTCTAAACTGCCATGTTGCCATAACGTATTTGATGCATTAACTGCCTCTGAAGAAGATGTAAGTGTTATTGATGATGAGCAATATCCAAATCATCTTCAGTGTGTATTGGAGAATTTAGAAGGCAATCCTACAAATAATCACATCAAGACTCGTAAGGGAAAGGCTATTTTTATAGAAGAATCTAACAAATTTGTCTTAACTGGAACATCTCATGACCATGCATGCACAATTATCAACAATGATGGAAGGTCGTTTCCTAAGACAAATGCCTTATCTGGCCATGGTCCTACTCCTATGTAAACCAATGAGAATAAAGTGGAAAAAAAAAATAAGATTGTTGAAGGACAAGAAACTACCAAATCTCATGATAATGAAATGCATATAGAAAATGCTCTTGTTTTTGTCCTAGAATCAAACCACAGAAAGAGTAAGTTAGATAAATCAGATCGTGGAAGTGGACTCGATCATCCCAAAGCTCTTGACCCAGGCCTTCATGCCAATATATCCTTTGATACAATTGTTATGAATTTCAAACAGGATGACCTCAAAGTCGCAACTATTGAATCAAATCACATGGAGGTAGATATTCATGACCAATATCAGGTTGAAAAATAGAATTCCCAAGGTCTGCAAGAAACCTGTAATCCTGCTTCTACTGTGTATCATTGATGTCTATCTTAGCATGGAACTGTCGTGGCGCATTAAAGCCACAGTTCAAAGGTACTTTACGAAATATAGTGCGAAAACATAAGATAGATGTTGCTGCCATTTTTGAACCAAGAGTCAGAGGGAAGAAGAGTATATACATTGCTCGTAAATTAGGTTTCTCTAAATGTAATATTGAAGATGCGCATGGATTTTCTAGAGGTTTATGACTTCTTTGGAATAGTATAAATGTTCATATTGTTGTTTTAGAACAAGGCCCTCAGTTTATACACTGTTATATATCCTTTCCTGAAAAGCATCCATTCCAATGCACATTTATATATTATTTCCCTCGTGCAAAAGGACGTGAAATTTTATGGGATGACCTGCGAAGAATTAAACAAACTATTTATGGTCCTTGGATGGTTACAGGTGATTTTAATGATATTGCACATGTGTCTGAGAAAATTAGGGATAGTCCAGTTGATTATCGGCATTGTCAACCTTTATCATTAGTAATGGAAGACTGCCATTTACTTGATATTGAAGGATATGGTGCAAAGTTTACATGGAGAGGACCTAAGTTTATGAATCTAGATCGTGTTTATAAAAAATTAGACAGAGCTTGCTGTAATGTGGAGTGGTGGAATATATTTGAAGAAGGTTTTACTAGGATTCTTCCGAAAATTCATAATGATCATAGCCCTATTATTATTTCATTGCAGGAAAGTAAAGATCGTTGGCAGGATAGACCCTTTCGATTTCATAGTTTATGGCAAGATCATAATGGATTCAAACAAATGTGGAAAGACACATGGAACCCACTCTTGGAAGTAGCTGAGAACTTAGAAATTCTAACCCCATGCCTCAACGAGTGGAACCATTCTGTTTTTGCTAACATTGTTCACACAAAAAAATTTCTTTTGGGTCGTATTAATGGTATACGACGGGCCATAGCAAAAAATCAAAAATACCACTTAGAGGGATTAGAAAGAAGGCTACAAAAAGAACTTGATGGTATAGAGGCACATGAAGAACATCTTTGGTATGAGAAATCTCGAACTAAATGGCTAGGAGAGTGAGACAAAAATACCAGGTATTATCATACAAAGACTTTGATTAGAAGAAGACGAAATAAGATAGCTGAACTTAAGGGTGCAATGGGATATTGGATTAGAGACCCTAAAGCATTAGAACAAATTATAACTTGTTTCTTTTCTGATTTTTTCAAAGAAGAATATAATTCTCGACATTGGTTGCAAACAAATACCTCCTGGCCTGCACTAGATTCAGAGCAAATGAATATTTTGAATAAGCCTATCACCTCGTTGGAGATAAAGCAATCTTTTTTAATATGAATGCATCCAAGGCTCCTGGAGATGATGGGTATACGGCCTCTTTTTATCAAAAGAATTGGGACCTTATAGGAGAACAAGTGTGTAAGGATATAAAAAGTTTTGTGGAGAATCCTTCTACAATTGAAAGGATAAATAGTAAACTTCTTGTGCTTATTCCAAAAGTTTCAAAACCAGAGTTTATCTCTCAGTATCGCCCCATTTCTTTATGTAATGTCCTTTACAAGGGGGTAAGCAAAGTCTTAGCAAACCTTTTGAAGCCATTAATGGATAAATTGGTTTCTCCTTTCCAAGTTAGTTTTGTACCCAAACAACATATTCAAGATAACATTATAGTTACTTAGGAGATTATCCATTCCATGCAAAAGTTAAGAGGAAAAAAAAGCTATATGGCCATTAAGATAGATTTGGAGAAAGCATATGATCGTTTGAGTCGAGGATTTATTCGAAGTACTCTCAAGGAAATTGATCTTCCAATTTGGATGATAGAACTGTTCATGGCCTCTATATCCTCACCTACATTTAGAATCCTTATAAATGGATCAAAGTCCTCCTCCATCACTCTAACAAGAGGGATTCGCTAAGGAGATCCATTATGTACTTACATTTTCGTTCTGTGTATTGAAAAGCTATCCATCTCATTGCTGATTTAGTTCATGCTGGTCGTTGGAAACCTTTTCAAGTAGGTAGAAATGGACCTAAGGTTTCCCACTTGCTTTTTGTTGATGACCTTTTATTATTTACAGAAGCTTCGACACAGCATGCTAGTGAATTATGGAGTGCTTAGACCATTTCTGTGTTATGTTAGGGAAGAAAATTAGTAAAGGAAAAACTCAAGTATTTTTCTCACCAAATGTTCAAGAAGGGCAGGTTCAGTCCATCCTTAATATTTGTCAATTTCGGAGGACAAGGAGTTTGGGGCGATACTTGAGTTCTATCATTAAACATAGCTGTTCTCTAAAATCTCATTATGCTGGTATATTAGATTGAGTAAAGCAGCGTCTTCAAGGCTGGAGTCACCACTGTCTCTCATTTGCTGGTAAAGTTACACTAGCAAAATCTGTAATCTCTTCTATTCCAGCATTTCACATGCAAAATGGATTGATTCCTGTTACCATTTGTAATGAGGTAGAACGCTTGCAGCGTAAATTTATTTGGAGGGAGGCACATGATGAGCAAAAACATCTAATTTCATGGCGCCAAATTTGTAAACCAAAATCTTTCGGAGGATTAGGAGTTCTAAATCTTCGAGTTCAAAACCAGGCTTACATTCATAAACTGGCTTGGAATTTGATTAACCAACCAAATGAGCTTTGAGCCCAAGTTCTTCTGTCCAAATATAGACGAAGTCAAGATATTAGGCGTAACATCATAGTGAAATCCTATGATTCTAATCTCTGGAAAAGTGTTAGGAATGGTGAAGCAATTGTTGATCCGTCTACTGAAACTGTTGCAAGCAGCCCAACAACAACAAGCCCATACACGGGAGCGGGA